TACTTATTTCCTGAGGATTCTCTAAGTGATGCTGCTGCTCACATTGCATGCTTGTAACTCAGAGTGCTCTGTTGGGTTTCAGACTTGTGTATACAGCACCCTCTGCATGTGTCCACTTGGAGAGACATTCTTTGGTCCTGTGGGCCCTCAAACTCAGAACATCCAAAGGCAGTTTTCATTTTGCTCTCCAATGCCGTCATCCCTAGTAAAAGGTGTTCTACCCACATCATCGTCCACACCATCCCAACCAAATGTTGGCTTCATTCTAGAACCTTCCCTCCTACTTCCCTCTCACAACCACTCTCTCAGAACCTGTGGAATCTCTCTCCTAAGCAGTTCTCTCCTCTAGGATCCTTCCTTGTCACCTTCCCCAGCTCCCGTTCACTCTGTACCATCTTCACAGCGGTCCCTGCTGCTTCTTCTCTGGCTTTTCCATCTTTCCTCTGGTGAACACAAATCTGATCGGATTATGGCCCCGCTCACCATAACTTTCAGGGTTGAGGCAAGCCATCTCCACCCCAGGCCAGCACACATTCAGTGCTGTCACCACTGCCTGGTTGTCCAGCTGCAGCCCTGCTGCTCCCAGCAAACTGGGTTCTCTGCTGAATTGCTCCCCTTGGAGTCCTTGGGTTCAACCCCCCACACCTTCACAGACAGGTGTCCTCCTTTTAGTAGCATTTTTCCTTTCTAGATCTTCCTTCTGCCCCCACCTGCCTCCCCTTCCTGCCTCCTGCTCATCCATGACAATTTAATTAAAGCATCACATTCCTTGGGAAGCACCTGTCACTCCAGTCGGGTTTAAATGCCCCCTCGGTGCTCTCAGCCATCTCTCTCAATGTCTGTTCCGGGAGGTGGTGCGGTTTGGTGTTAACAGCAACAGACTCAGGACAGACAAAAAATGTTTGGGGTTAAGTGCCAGCTCTATCATATCCCCTCTGTGTGACTGTGACCAGGCAACTTTTACCCTGTGCCTCGGTTTCCTCATTTGAAAAACAGAGCTGCGAATGGTGGTGCTCCAGTTCAAAGGGTGGTTAGGGAAGTAAGTGAGATGCTCTCTGTGAAGTCCCTGAAAAAAGTGCTGGAGACACTGAGAGTCTGAACAAAGCTGAGCTATTTTTATTATCAAATTTGCTGATTGACTTGGCTGCTTTCCAAAAACAGAAAGATCTTTGGAGGGAAAGATACCATGCTTGACTTAACGACGTTTGACCTAGCATAGCATCTGAGACATGGTCGGGACTCAGTGAATACCCACTGAAAGAATGAAAAAAATATAGACAGTAAAGAAGTGGAACACAGCCTTAAATTCTTACCTATAGAGCATGCTAGTGAGTAACATCAGTCTAACGTTACCACGTGGGCTTTTTCACTTGCACATTAAGATGCTGATGGTGTCTCATTAAGTTAGTGCAACTGACTCACTGCTTCGCTTTGTTTTTAAATTTTTGGCTGTGCTGACTCTTCACTGCTGCACGGGCTTTTCTCCAGTTGGGGTGAGCGGGGGCTACTCTCTAGTTGCAGGGCGCAGGCTTCTCACTGCAGTGGCTTCTCTTGTTGCGGAGCATGGCCTCCAGGGCTCAGGGGCTTCAGAAGTTGGGGTTCTTGAGCTCTAGAGCACAGGCTCAAAAGTTCTCGTGCTTGGGCTTGGCTGCCCTGAGGCATGTGGGATCCTCCTGGATCAGGGATCGAACCTGAGTCTCCTGCATTGGCAGGCAGACTCTCTACCACTGAGCCACCAGGGAAGCCCCTGACTCACTGTTCTTAAAGTCAAGAATTTTCCATTTCCAACAGAAGGCCACAATGTCATTAATTAATGGAGTGACAAAACTCCTTTGAGATACCCATAGAGAAGCAAAATTTGAATTCCTACTAGAAAGAGGTTACAAAGTCTAGCAAATTCTGGGGAAAAAAAGTAGAGACACTCTTTAAAAGTTTGACTTCGGGACCCATTAAGTTTGCAGTGACTCATCCGTGGAAGGGAGAGAGGGCCTTGCAAGAATTGTCCACCTCTCCCACCACCCCACGTATCCTGCACAGAAGAGTCTGGAGAAACATGATGCATGGGGCAGAAGCAAGCCTCAATCATGGCCACATTTCCTCCATGTTCTTCGTGGAAGCACCACTTCTTGTATGCTTTGAAGAAGTTTTGCTCAAACAGACCAATTGCCTTTCCCTCCCTATTCCTCCCCAAAGTTCCTTTGAACTGGAATGGAGGTGCTATACACTGATGGGCCTTTGGCATCTCTAACATTTAGGGAACCTTATAAGGTGGTTCTACCCTCAGTAATTATTAGAAGGTCTAGAGAACTCTGAGGAGAGGCCAACCTCTAATCCGTGCCTTGAAAGTCTCACGCTTCTTCACCAAAAGCAAACTAGATGACAGAAAAGAGCCACATGAAAAAATGAGGCTATAATCCACCCTCTGTCATGGGGTTTTCATATCATGGAAAGACTGAGAGGACTTTGAAAACATCTATGGAGGTTTTTTGTAATTAGAAATGAGTGAAATTCTACTGTGCATGTACTCTAGTAGAAATATCTGCTCTTTCTATACTTCATTTGTCTTATTTCCAACCCAGGACTGGGTTTACAAAACATGGGGATATAACACAGGACAGGGTGAACCCAAGTAATTTTATAGAAGCTCATAGAATTACTCAGATATGGGACTGTCAATTTTCCTTTTGTGCCATGAGATATTTCTAAAACACAACCCAACTTTGTGTAAGTCTGGAAATATTCTGATTCAATTAATTTCTATGGAAAGTGGAAATCCCTTTTAAATAATTCTAGTCCATAATTCATGAAAATAAATGATTTCTATTTGTTTACTTTTTAACTCCAGGGCTAGAATATTCTCAGTCTTCTTTTCAACCAGATCTGGCTCATACTAGATCTGTAATGAGCATTCTCAGAAAAATGATAATTACAGTAACTGCTAGACACTGAAATAAATGCTTCATGAGTAGCTATATTCTAGCATCATAACCCCAGCAAATTACCATCCCCATTTTATAGATTCGGAAATTGGGATTCAAACAGATTAAGTGATTTGCCTGAGGACCTGGATTTCAACCTAAGAGTGAAAATTCCAGAGTCCATGCACTTCTGCCACGTCACCGTCCAGCCTTTAACAGAGAGAATCCCATAGGATTTCAGCAGAAACACGGCTGCCTGAGAGTCCCCTTCCCAAAGGCCATATTGCACAATTGTAACTACAGAAGGAGGAAAATATACCATCAGCTATTTCTGGAAAATACGTCTGGGATCATCCTCAGACCAGACCCAGTAACACAAGTGCTCAGACCCAGAGCAGAGGCCAGGAGGAGGGACTCTGATGCGGGAGGGTGCCGAGATTCCACAGAGGGACGGGGGGCAGTGACTCGCTCCCCCTCCTGGTTCTTGCTGTTCCTGGGTCTGAAGAGCCAGCGGAGCCGGGCATGTGCAAATGTGCACCAGACCTGGAGGTCTGTGGACACCGATTCCCAAAGCTGCACCCGTGCCCCGTGGATAAAAGGTCCCCCATATGATGAGACTTGCCCTGCACAGATGCAGCGACTCTGTGCCCTCCGCAGGTGGCATCCTCAAATCACACGGACTCTGAGGGTCTTTGGGATCCAAAGGGCTGAGCTGAGACAGGCAGCCTCTGCCCTTACTGGGATTCTGGTAATTTCTGCACCCTGGGTGAGAACACCCAGGACTCAAACCTTCAGAAGGTGAGTGGATATGGAGCCTCTTCTGCAAAGCTGCAGACCCAGATTGCATAGCAACACCGTACCACTGTCTAGGCTGCTTCATCCACTCCCGCAGATATTAATTCTGATTATTCCTATTTTCTTGTGTTGTTACCCCAATTCTCTTATTTCTTATTCCCGCTCACTTTACCCAATCCTCCATCTACTTTTAACCCCGTCTCCTTAGAAAACAAATACATTCTTCACACCACTCAGAATGGACATTGTTAAAAAGTCTATGAGTCATACATGCTGGAGAGAATGCGGAGAAAATGGAACCCTCCTACATTATTGGTGGAAAAGTAAATTGGCATAGACACCATGGAGAACAACATGGAATATTGTTCTTTAATATTCCTTAAAAATATTTTCTAAAAAATATTCCTTAAAAAATGAAGAATAGAGCTACTACATGATCATGCAATCCCACTCCTGGGTATATAGCTCTAATTTGAAAAGCTGTATGCATCCCAATATTCATAGCAGCACTATTTACTACAGGCGAGATATGGGTATAATTTAAATATTAATCGACAGGGACATGGATAAAGAAGATATGGTACATATATACAATAGAATACTACTCAGCCATAAAAAGAATGATGGAATAATGCCATTTGCAGCAACATGCATGAACTTGGAGAGGATCATACTAAGTGAAGTAAGTAGAGAAAGACAAATATCATACGATACCACTTATAGGTGGAATCTAAAAAAATATACACAAATGAACTTATTTACAAAACAGAAATAGACTAACACATAGAAGATAAATTTAGCATTACCAAAGAGGATAGAGAAGGTGGAGGGGCAGAGACAAATTAGAAGTTTGGGATTAACAGATACCCATTACTGTATATAAAATAGATAAACAATGAGAACCTACTTTATTGTACAGGGAACTATACTCAATACCTTGTAATAACTTATAGTGGAAAAGAATCTGAAAAGCTATATATATATATATAACTGAATCATTTTGCTGTACTCCTGAAACTAACATAGCACTGTAAATCAACTAGACTTCAGTAAAAATACACATTCTTCCCCCCTGTTATCAGGGCAGTTTGTCCTCTCTCATCCTCGTAGAACAGCATTGTGGGAAGCTCTGTCTGTGACTGTATCCTTTGAGCATCTGAGCACAGGAATCTAGGTCTTTCTCAGGGACTGCATCTACCTTCTAGCGCCAGTTACATAATCGAGGTTAAGATCAGCTTGAAGTGACAAGAGCAGTTACTCATGAGCTGACAAATAATGCATACTCACATTTCAGTTCGAGTTTGATGAAATCTGTGTTCCCTAGATTTTCAAGAAACACGCCCCGGGGGATTAACGTTTTGAAGTAGAAGGAGATGTCGGCACTGGTCTCCCCTTGGAAAGTGGAGAAGTGCAGGTAGGATGATGGGTTTGGGAAAGAGGCCGCATTCCAGTAATTCCCTGTGGAAGGAACAAAGAAAGAGGACAATGTAATTTACACCTGGTCATGGCACTGATGGAAAAGAGAGCCACCTTCTGAGTTTTAATACAATCCCACTGACAGTAGCCCTTGTTTCCACTCTTCCTGTTGAATAACACTGCACAAAATCCCCACAAACATATCTTTGACTTTCCAAAAGTTTTATGTGTTTATATTTGACTAAAGATGGATAAATCCTTTAAAGAGGCATCCTGAAGGGACTCTCAGGAGTACATATCAGAGGAGGAGAAAATGGAGTGACGCCCCTGGTTTCACATGGTGGGTGGATGTGGCTGTTTTTAACTCAGGCTTATGTTTTGTTTTGTTTTTTCTTTCCATTTTTGATGTGGACCATTTTTAAAGTCTTTATTGAATTTGTTACAATATTGCTTGTGTTTTATGATTTGGTTTTTTTGGCCGTGAGGACTGTGCGATCTTAGCTCGCTGACCGGGGATTTAACCTGCACCCCTGGCATTGGAAGGTAAAGTCGTAATACTGGACCGCCAGGGAAGTCCCCAGGCTTATGTTTGATGCAAGAAGCATCTGGACTCGACCGGGAGGGACAGACTAGGAAGGGGTCTTTGGTATCCTGCTCCTGCTTCTCATCTGTCTTTGTCTTGGAATAAGCAATGCTTGCTTCCAGCCAGCACCTTCTCCGACCTCTGGGCAAGTGAAGCAGAAATACAACCACGGGAAGTGCAGAAGCCTGGCTGAGCAAGGAGCTAGGGAAAAAGGCTGGATGACCTGGCCAGTCATCTCTCCACCCCTCCTGCTCCAAGCCCCACAGGCAAGTTGTTGTAAAGGGAGGGTCCCCTCCCCAGCCTCTTCCTCTCTGGGGACTCCATGGGACCTGTGGAGTCTGTGACCTGTGGCTGTTCTGTGGGGGCGGGAGTGCTGAGCTGAGCCCATTGAAGGGCTTACAATCAGCCTCTATCCTTGAACTCATGAGGCAGACACAGTTGTACTCACCCCGTCCACACTCACTGCCTGGTAGTAGGCAGTGGCCCCAGGAGAAAGGCAGTTCACAGGACAAAATAAATGCACTAAACTAGAGGACCGCCATTCCAGCAGAACAGGTGGACCAAGCATTTAATGACATCAAGGGCAGTGTGCCTGTGTGCTGAGTTGCTCAGTCATGCCCTACTCTTTGCGACCCCATGGACTGTAGCCTGCCAGCCTCCTCTGTCCATGGGATTTTTCAGACCCAGAATACTGGAGTGGGTTGTCAGGCCCTCCTCCAGGGGATCTTCCCGACCCAGAGATTGAACCTGTGCTTCCTGTAGCTTCTGTATTGCAAGTGAATTCTTTACTGCTGAGTCACCAGAGAAGCCCACCAAGAGCTGACTCCTGACTTTATCTCCAGGGGAGAAATTCCTTTAGGAAGTGCACATTTCTGAGTACATTTGACAGCACATCTAAGGACTAAAATACATGAATATGCTTTAAAACAGTTACTAAAGCTTTTACCTTTAGTATTAAACCTATGTTAAAGTCACCATGTGAGGCCCAGGATGAAGTCACTCTTGCTAACCCCTGAGTCAGCAAACCAGCACTTAACTGAGCTTCTGTGCTCAGCTCGCCCAGAGAAGGAAGGTCCAGGCTACCCCAGCAGCGCTGGCATGCTCAGCAAAGGGTCCCTGATGCTCTAGGCCTTCCCTCTGCTGATGTGTTTGCAGCCCTGTTTCAGCCAATCAGCACACGCCCAGTGTAACTTCCTGTTCCTGCTCCCTTTGGTTCATAACACCTCTAGTCTTGTATGGCTCTTCAGAGCTCCTTTCTCTCTGCTAGGCTGGAGGTGGCCAGATTCATGAATCACTGATAAAAGCCTACTAGATTAATAAATTGCTAGTGGAAAATTTTCTCTTAACGTCTAAAATATGTATTTTTGGGACTTCCCTGGTGGTCCATGGAGAAGGAAGTGGCAGCCCACTCCAGTATTCTTGTCTGGAGAATCCCATGGACAGAGGAGCCTGGTGGGCTGCCGTCTATGGGGTCGCACAGAGTTGGACTTGACTGAAGTGACTTAGCAGCAGTAGCAGGAGCAGCTGGTGGTCCAGCGGTTAAGAATCTGCCTGCCAATGCAGGGGACATGAGTTCAAGCCCCTGTCCAGGAAGATCCCATAAGCTGCAGAGCCACTAACCACGTGTGCCACAACTACTGAGCCCGTGCTCTAGAGTCCATGAGCCACAAGAAAAAATACCGCAAATGGAAGCCCACATATCCCAACTAGATAAAAGCCCTCGAGCAGCAACAAAGACCCAACACAGCCAAAAATAAATAAATTAATAAGTAAATAAAAATTTTAAAATACAATATATTGTTTTTTAAAATTGACTTTTGCCATATCTTCCCTTCAAAGAACACATTGAATCAACTACATTCACTTTCTTAGTTTCTATCGACTATATTTTTCCTTCCTTTTATACAAATAATGCACGTATGCAATAAGTTCAACTGCTATTCTTAAACAGAATTAACTTTGTTGGTACTGCTATGCTTATGCCATAAATTCAAGTTAAGTATATAATGTTGCTATATAGTGAGATAATAAAGTATCTTCATTTAATTGATGTTATTTACTTTTTTCTTAGGACATCTAGGATACAGTGACATCTAGATAAGTGAATGGCAATAAATAAACAGCATCACTGACTCAGTAGACATGAATTTGAGCAAACTCCAATAGTGGATGACAGGGAAGCCTGGCATGTTGCAGTCCATGGGGTTGCAGAGTTGGACACGACCAAGTTGGACATGAAAAACATGTTTGCAAATGTCTCCATTAAGGTAAAACCAGTGGTGGTGGAGAGTTCACTGTTGAAAGTGCACCAAAACTCTTAGCGTAGTTTTAAGCTCTTTTTGTTTTTTTTTAATTGCGATATCATTGCTTTCAGTAGGAGAAAAACAGACTGGTTTCCTTTCAGGAAGAAGGATGTGATACAATATTGGTTAGACAAATACCCCAGAAGAAAGAATCTTAACTATTGTTTAAGTTGCTATCATATGAGCACTGAGCCCTCTTTCCCGCTCAAGATCTGCCTTCAAGTCTGGAGAGGCGAGTTTAGGCTCACCTCTCCCAGCTAGCTGAAAATTAAGGTCTCTCAAGATAAAAGCTAAAGTTGCAACCCTCTCACCAATCAGAGTTTTAGACTGGAATGAGAGCTCCCAGGGCCAGCAGCATTCAGCCTGCCTAATGGGTGAGAGCTCCTTAACAACCTAGGAGCCGCCAAGGGTCAGTCTTCAGCTATGCGCCAACCTGAAAGTCAAGTAATTCTGTCTCTCTAGGCTGAATCCCCAGGACAGAGATGTAATTAACATTTTCAAGTTTTCATCCAATCAAATGCATTCTTATTTTCTGATGTGGTGCTGTATTAATAGAAGGGCAGCTGTCTAAAATGATTCTAGAAAAAAGGAAAGCTAAAAGCAAAATATGTCAGTATTTATTTGAGGTCCAGCGCTGGTTATTCAGGCAGAAATATCTCCAGAGAGGAGGACAGTTTGATCTGTTAATTTTCATTTGCAGAAATATCCCGACAGACCACAGCTCCATTTGCTCTCACTCTGTGCTCACTAGGCAACTTTGAATTAACTTTGGCCTCTGGGACGGATACATTCACAGGGAAAGTATGCCTTGTACAAATGGTGGTTACTAGTCATTCTTCCAGAAATGTCTGGCTGATCATAAGACATCTTTGGAGTCTTTGCTGGAGGGCTGTCCCTCATCTCTGGATGAATTGACTAAATCCAGATTCTTTTTTTTTTTTTTCCATTTATTTTTATTAGTTGGAGGCTAATTACTTTACAATATTGTAGTGGCTTTTGTCATACATTGACATGAATCAGCTATGGAGTTACATGTATTCCCCATCCCGATCCCCCCTCCCACCTCCCTCTCCACCCGATTCCTCTGGGTCTTCTCAGTGCACCAGGCCCGAGCACTTGTCTCATGCATCCAGCCTGGGCTGGTGATCTATTTCACCCTAGATAACATACATGTTTTGATGCTGTTCTCTTGAAACATCCCACCCTTGCTTTCTCCCACAGAGTCCAAAAGCCTGTTCTGTACATCTGTGTCTCTTTTTCTGTTTTGCATATAGGGTTATCATTACCATGTTTCTAAATTCCATATATATGTGTTAGTATACTGTATTGGTCTTTATCTTTCTGGCTTACTTCACTCTCTATAATGGGCTCCAGTTTCATCCATCTCATTAGAACTGATTCAAATGAATTCTTTTTAATGACTGAGTAATATTCCATTGTGTATATGTACCATAGCTTCCTTATCCATTCGTCTGCTGATGGGCAAGTAGGTTGCTTCCATGTCCTGGCTATTATAAACAGTGCTGCGATGAATGCTGGGGTGCACGTGTCTCTTTCAGATCTGGTTTCCTCAGTGTGTATGCCCAGGAGTGGGATTGCTGGGTCATATGGCAGTTCTATTTCCAGTTTTTTAAGAAATCTCCACACTGTTCTCCATAGCGGCTGTACTAGTTTGCATTCCCACCAACAGTGTAAGAGGGTTCCCTTTTCTCCACACCCTCTCCAGCATTTATTGCTTGTAGACTTTTGGATAGCAGCCATCCTGACTGGCGTGTAATGGTACCTCATTGTGGTTTTGATTTGCATTTCTCTGATAATGAGTGATGTTGAGCATCTTTTCATGTGTTTGTTAGCCATCTATATGTCTTCTTTGGAGAAATGTCTGTTTAGTTCTTTGGCCCATTTTTTGATTGGGGAAAGTTGCAGGATATAATATTAACACATAGACATCCCTTGCATTCCTATACACTAACAATAAGAAAACAGAAAGAGAAATTAAGGAAACAATACCATTCACCATTGCAACAAAAAGAATAAAATACTTAGGAGTATATCTACTTAAAGAAACAAAAGACCTATACATAGAAAACTATAAAACACTGATGAAAGAAATCAAAGAGGACACAAACAGATGGAGAAATATACCGTGTTCATGG